TGTTGTGTTAGCTGGGTGGCCTTTTATATGTTAGTTGCGTGGAGCTTAGTTTGGTAGAATTCTGACAGATGGGATAAATAATTATAACACTCAAGTTCAAAACACAATTATCTCATGTGATGAGCACTGTAATAGAAAAGTGACTAAGTGGAGAGGGTAAAGGAAGCCTCGTAGTAAGAGTGACCTTTGAGCCATGTGAGATAGAATTCTGCCTTTTAAAGGTAATTCACTGACTCTCTTTCTCATTAATTTGCATGTTCAATAAACCTTTACCAAGTGAGTATCACATGCCAGGTCCTAAGCTGTGTGTTAGGAAGAAAAATGGAGGTCACATCTCTGCCCTCAAGATGTCATCATTTAGTGGAGAACACAGAAGAAACAGATGATTACAGGTTAGTGTGGTGGATTTCATGACAGGGTTCTTTGGGCATTTTGTCTGGATAGAGTGTGTTAGTGGCAGGACACTTGTCAAAGGAGGCTCCTTAGATGAGGTAATAAGTATGAGTTTCATCGTATGGAATGGTTTGTACCATTTGGGATTCATTGACTTCAGTGAGCCTTAACACTCTGGACTCTGCCAGAAAAATGTGCCTACATGTAACAATTTTATATACTTTCAGAGGGTTCTCTGAGTCCCTAAAGCCCATCCATGAACCCCCAGTGACGCTCTTGTAGGAGTTTTGCTCACAGAGCAGCAGGGACACGACGCCATGGAGAATACCAGTGGCTGCTTTATGTGAGTACTTGGGAGAGGAATATTTTCTGTAAGTTAGCATCTTCAGTTACTGTGTTCACAAACTTGAGGGGACGCGGCATTGCAACTTGTGCTACTTATATGACTTCTTGAATGCCATGGCATCAAGCTAGGGGATTCTTTGTGTTTCCATTATCTCTGATAATGGAAAATCAAGCAAGTAGTTGTGACAATTCCAGCAGGCCTGAGAAATCCCTTAGTAATCACTTTTTCTTGTTAGTGCTGATGATGAGTGAAAATATAAATACAGTCAGATCCTCGGCTCAGGACAGTACAAGTTAAGACCTGCTAAACTGTGAGCATCAATTCGTCACCTTATGTACTTTAAAAAAATCAATATTTTTATCGCTCTGTAAGTATTTTCATCCTAAAAATAAATCTTTCATGTGAATAAGTGAAAGAAAAGTTTTATTTAGAAATACCAAAGCTGATCGTGATCACAGAAGTTAGTCTAAAGTAAGTCAAAGGTACCGACCGGTTCTATTCATTCAAAATTCACTGGCAGGATAGAAATGTAGCCATAAAAAGAAAATAAATCAGAGCTACTCGCCCAAAGAATGGAACACAGATGAGGAGCAGAGAAAACTTGGAGGCCTCTTCTGTTTTCATACTCCTGATGGGCTCCATTCAATGGTCCTGTGATTGTCTGATCAAACAGCTTCCCTTCATCCCTCATCCTCCCTCACTTTCATCTGAGGACACATTTATTTTTGCACTTCCTCTGCTCCCCTTCTCCCCACTCATCCCAAATTACATCCCCCTAAGCAAAGCTATGAAGAATCCATCTGGCCCAGTTGTTGGAGTTTCTTGTTCTTCCCACCATCCTTTCAAGAGAAGAGGGAAAGAACTGGTTTCTGCAGATCTGGGGGCTAAATTGTGTTTTTGGGAGAGGGGGGAATTTCTCATTGAACGTGTACAAACCAGGGCTGAGCACCATGGACAAAGGCATAAAGGAACATGGTGCTTTCTGGGAATACACCCCATTCCCCACTTCACTTTCCACATCATTCTTGCACCTACCGAAGCCTCTTCTCTCCTGACGCCTGTGCCACTTGCTTGGGTCATCTTTCCTCCACTCCAGTGTGCTCTCTCACTTCCATTAGTAGCTTTATTATCTGTTTCCTACTTCACCATCTTCTGAGCCCTGTTCCCTGCGATCACTTTCAGGAATATTCCTGTGTATGACTCTCTCATCACCCTTACACGGAAATGCTTTTTATCCTTGACTTCATTAACCACCATCTCCATACCACTCCATACTAATGGCAAGGCAGCATCTTCTGACTCTTGTCAGTGTCCTCTAGCCAGAGATCACCAGGAAAACAGAGTTGAATAAGTTATGTTTACTGCTTGTTGCAGTGAGGGAGACCTCACACCATGGGGAATTCTGGAGCAGCTCAGTATTAAGAGGGTGTTAAGAGAAAAGACTTGTGGGACTTGGGTTTGTGTTAGGTGATTTTGGGGAGGGTTTAAAGAAGCAGGGCTTTTCTCTGGGTTAGATGTTGTCAAGAAACGGTAACTCTATGATTGGACTATCTGTGGGGAAGGAAGACTAAAGCAAAGCTACAGCTGTAATTGGGCAAGAAGCAGCAGCCCCTCGGTATCTGGCTTTTTGGTATTTTCTGGCTTGGCTGATGTCTTGCTTTGTGTTCCAATATGATTACTGAGTGGCCATGTTTCTGTCTTTTTCCATCCTGGTCACAGAGTGGCCTTGTCTGATGTTGATTTTTCATGAAATCATTGATGTTCAATAGGAGAACACCAAGGCCCAGCTGTGAGTGCCAGGCCAGCTCCTGGAGGTCAGGGGCTGCTTTTCTCTTCCTCAGTTTTCACTGCTCTGAACGGCTCCACTTCAGATATTTAACTTCTTGATCAAAGCCTCTACCTCCTTCCTCCTCTACCATTTGCCTCCTCCGTTAGCTCCTGTGGGGACTTGTCCTCGGTCCCTCCACATTTCCCTAGTTTATCAGCTTCTTTCTTGGCTCACTTCTTTCCCTAACCAGATATCATGTGGCGATGAGCTGTTTTCGTGGTCTGTTGACCACTGCCCAGAATCCCTCCCCTTGTCACCTCCTCTTGTCTCCTTTGCCAGCACCTTCTCCTGGGTGGACTCCATCATTCACTATTCTCCTCTAAGATTTCTGAGTGCTTCAGCAGAAAGCCAGAAAACCATAACCGTGTGTTTTCTACCCTCAGCAGTCATCAAGGCTACCTGGCAATCCTTTTTTCCATGACTTTTTTTATCCCCTGTTGCACCCCTCGAAGCCATTTTTCTAGTAATATTCTCTTTAGGCCACCAACTTCACCCTCAACCGCCTCACTCTACAAGATGGTCTCAATTCCCACTCTATTAGGAAGATAGAGACCATCTCGTATGATCTACCTCAGCTTCCTTATTTTTCCTACTTTAATTTTTTTCTAAATCTCCACCCATCCTCTTTCCCATGATCTTCTCTAAAAGGAAGAACTCTCGGGGCTGGCCCCGTGGCCGGGTGGTTAAGTTCACGCACTCCGCTGCAGGCAGCCCACTGTTTCGTTGGTTCGGATCCTGGGCGCGGACATGGCACTGCTCGTCAAACCACGCTGAGGCAGAGTCCCACATGCCACAACTAGAATGACCCGCAACGAAGAATATACAACTATGTACCGGGGGGCTTTGGGAAGAAAAAGGAAAAAAATAAAAAAAATCTTTAAAAGGAAGAAATCTCAATCTTTTTATAGCCCGACCCCTCCACTTGTGTTCCTGACCCTGTTGCCTCTTCTCTATGCCCCTTCACCTCGCTTCCTTTCCCAGCCATGCAGACTCTTCGGTCTGACTCCTTCCCTTCAAAATGAAATTCCTAGGAAGTGGTCTTCCCTGTCTGTTCACTTCCTCCACATTCACTCACACATTAACACTTCTGTTCCCACCCCTGGATCCAAGGTGATCTCGTCATCACTTTTCCTTAGACTTATCATCTTTGTAAACTTGCAACGCATGAGCTTTTTCCTTGAATCTCCTGAGACAGTGCTGTCCAAGTTCTCTTTGTTTTTATTTCTTCATAATCTCTATGAGTAGGTTTCCTCCGTGGCTCTGAACCCCCACATCCTACTCCCTACTTTCTGTGTTTTTTCTTCCTTTGTCCCCATCTTCGTAGTTCCCTTTCTCTCCTGTTGCCCCTTGACAATCTTATCCACTCCCCAAACTGGAATAATTCACGGATCTGTCTCTGTCGTTGACCTTTGTCCAGAGTCATCATTCTTTTTTTCTAACTGCGTACTAAACATCCACAGCATGATGTGCTATCAGTACTAAAACATCAGTATCTGAAACTAGATTCATCAGTCTCACCAGAACCAGTTCCTCTGTACATTTTTGCCCCATGTAGTGACATTCCTGTTCTCTGTCCCTGCAGTGAGCTTTCACTATCAAATCCCATGGATTCTGCCTTTGCACCGTCGCTTGCATTTGCCCTCATCTTAGGGTGCTCACAGAGTTAGCCTTATGTTGTTATGGAGCCTATTAACTTGTCATTTAAGGGCAGGGTACTTAACTTACTCATCGTTGCTTGCCTCTTGGGGTTCAGCAAGTGCCTTACCCAAAGGACACCCTCACTATTTGCTGAAGAATGAATATAAATAAGCATTTTAATGCTTTACTTGCATTCCATGAACTGTTTGTCATTGAACATATTTTCCATCATTAGTTCTCCAGATACTTTCATTCTTAACCAAGCAAACACTAGAATAAAGTTTCATACCCAAAACCTCAACCATGGTACTTCTGCTCTTTTTCAGGAGGAACAGTTAGGTAAAGGTGCATGGGTCAGGAGGCATTAATTTAGCCTTCCTTCTTGAGAGCCAGACTTAATAAATAGGATTATTATGTTTTCCTGGCAATTTTAGATGACTTTCATCTTTCTTTATACATTGATTTTTCTGCTTTTTCTCTTCTTTATTTTTTAACAGGTTTTCAAAATGGAAACTATCACTATGACATAAGATGCTATTGATAGTACATCAATATGATTCAGCTCTTCCCCTGCCCAGCAGAGTGTGGCTGCTCTGTGCACAGCCCTGTAATACATATTAGTTACACAGACATTAGAGAAACCCTTCCCATCCATATGTATGTGCATGGCCCGTGGAAGTTAATAATGCCATATATCACGTGCACGTAGAATGTAAAATGTACTTCAGAATGACAGCAGGCTCATCTAAAATGAGTATGGCTTATAATGAGAGGAAAACCAGGGAAAGATTTTTGTCCTTTCAAATCTGCAGTTTACTAAATTATTTCTGTGTGTCTCAGTATCCCAGACCTACATTCTGCCCCCTTATTATTTTTTTTTTTTTCGGTCAATATATGCCTGTCTCTCCAGGCACCTTATTTCACTTCAGCCATATGGATAACAAAAGAAGCCCTTTGGAGAAATGAAAAATAGCAATTACACATTGGTATTCATGTTACAGAAGTCACACTGCCGTCCTCAGGGAGTTTAACAATGAATATCCAACATTAATTGCCACAGTAACTGCATGTCTGACCTTGCTGAAATGTAATACATCAGTTTTACATAGTAAAATTATTTGCCACTAAAAGATTAAAAAATAATCATAAAATTATATTGCTGTTTAGAACAACTAATATTTTTTGTTTTTAGGAAGATCCTGGAAGACTCAAATGACTAGGTTGCTACCTTTTCTCAGGAATCAGGACACCGGGAATGGAAATCACAGTTTTATCACTGATTGGTTGGCAATTATGACAAGATTAATGCCTTCCTTTTCTTAGGAGAGGGGAATAAAATACATTGACGTCCTTGATAGATCTGTGGAACTGATTAATAAGGCACAAGGACAGAGTATTTTTTATCCATTGGGGGAAAAATATCCTTTTTTTGTGTTTGTACCTAATTATAGGTAGGATTTTCTGCCAGTAGCAGAAATGTGCTAGGAACCCTAGGATGTATTTCCCTTTTTAAAGAGGCAACATCATTTTTAAGATGAAGCCTACTTGCTATCAACTTTTCTTCCTTTAATCTTTTGCTCAGATCCTCAGAAATAGAGAGGCTAAATTTTCTTACATGTATTTCACAGTGCTTTTTTTCTTGGGCTACCTTACTCTTCCTGGGTGTCGCACATCAGGAGAATTTCACGCTACGCACTCTGGAAGCGTTCATCTCTCAGGACCAGGCTGCACACTGCTGGGTCAGCACGGAGCCCGACTCCGACAGCCACGTCAGCGGGCCATGCTGGCTCTGGGCTGTGGAAGCTGTGTGTGCAGAAATGAATGATTGTTCAGCCTTCTCTCCTTTTTAAAACGGACTGAAGTGAAGAAAGTCTGTGCACTCACCCATGACATCCGAATTTCAGCCTAGATGAGATTCCAGCTAGAGATCCATTTTTGCTTGTATTCTGGCAAAACAAGCACATGATAAATTTGAAGGCCATCTCAAGTCGGAGAAAAAAATGAGCTGAATGGGTAGTTTTTTGCTCACCTTTTAAAGTAAGGCTGTGATGTAGATGAATATATGTATGTGCTATAACTACATAACATGGCTTATTGTTTTAGTGTTTAAATGATGTTTTATAGGACCTTCCAATTTTGATACAGTGATTGTTTCATAAGCATTAACCAGATAAAAGAGAATATAGTACACGTGCAATTAGTGTGTTGTGTTTTTTAAAACTTCGAACTTTAGATTCTTTCATTCAAATCGTTCAAGTGGTTTTAAAAACGAACTCTGAATCCCATCCCCACTTTATGTTCTTTCCTATTTCCTCTAAAGTACTTATGTCTCTCTAATGCTTTATGTGTCCGTAGAACTAGAGCCTGGACACTGTACCATTAGAGGGAGATTTTTGAGCAGACTCCTACTTTATTCTGCATCTTTAAAGAAATTACAGTGGACAGCAACTCAAGAGAATGCAGCTTTAGTTAGCTCCTTTTTTTCTTTTTAATTTTCTCTCCCTTTTTCCTTCTTCCATCCCTCACTCCCATCCACAATTAAAGCAGGACGATGAAGTGATGACTGTTCAGGTTAAAGAGCAAGAGCAGAACGTCCTGGTGCTGAAGAAAGTGCAGTGCTGTGGCCCAGCCCCCCCAGCCGGGAGTGCAGAGAGCGACTGGAGGTGAGAGTTTCCACCGAGGCACGCGCTCCTATTTCCTTCCCTCGCCTGCGTTCCCTTCTCTGCTCCATCTCACTTGCTCCCTCTGCCTCCTCTTCCCTCCCTCCCTTTTTCTCCGCCTCTCGAGCGTTCTAGCTGACTGCAGAGCTCTTAGCAGCCAGATGGACTCAGTTCCCAGTGAAAGGACAGAGATGGCAAGATCTTTTAGCATTTAGGGGATGCCTTTGTTACTAGCTGTTCACAATGGGCAGCTCCCGGCTGAGGGTCTTTGACTCTAATTTAGAGAGGAAGGAATCCGCGGCGCTCTCAGACCGAGAGCTGCCCTTGCCTACCTTCGATGTGCCTTATTTCAAATACATTGACGAGGAGGATGAGGATGATGAATGGAGCAGCCGCTCGCAGTCTTCAACCGAGGATGACTCGGTGGACTCTCTGCTCTCTGACAGATACGTGGTCGTGTCCGGGACCCCGGAGAAGATTTTGGAGCACCTTTTGAATGACTTGCACCTGGAAGAAGTCCAGGACAAAGAAACAGGTAAGGCAGGGGGTGTCTCCTCCTTCCAGACTCACATCTGTGGCTGCCCTTGTCAGTATCCTTAGGGGCAAGGCTCCCACTGTAGCTGAAACCAGGGTGGGCTGAAATAGCATATGCTTTGTGCACCTCCCCCTTACCCTCATGCTGTTTTGTTTAAATCCAGTAAATGGACACATGTAGACCCAAGCAGCTGCCTGGAAAATAGCTGTACAAAGAAAATGATACGAAGGCAGGTGTTCTTGTTTCTTTGGCAGTTTTTTTTTTACCAAATCTCACCTAAAGGCAGTTGGCAAGAGGCCAACATTCAATAGCCAGTGTTTAGTGGAAAGAAATAGAAGGAGTCGGGGTTAGCAAGCATTCACCTGGCCTGTGGAAAGCACTGAGCTGGGGGAGGAAATGTCAACAATTAATGCAACTACTCAGCAACTGTAAGCTTAGCAGCAACTTCTGCCTTTTTCCAAGTGCTGTACAAATTGCTGGGGGCAAGCCCGGCGGTGCAGAATATGATACTCGTAACTTCTCAGACCAGAAATTCTTATTCACTGAAGACTTATTGATCTGACTTCTTGTCCTTTCTGCTTATTCTGGGAGAAAAATACCCATTTAGCCTTTTCACACTTGCACTTGTGGAAACACTGCATTGCATTTACAAAATGACCTACCCACACTTCCTTTATCACAGAAGGGCAAGTACTTGCTTCTCTTAACCAGAATTGTAATTTCTTCCAGCCTGGAGCAATTATTCCAATAAATAGGCCTCTGGCTGTAGCCTAAATTCTGTAACTTGATCCCCTGACTAAAAGGCACTTTTTCCTGCGATCACAGCACCTGTAATGCCCACAGTTTGCAATATAGTGACTGCATTAATAAAAGGTATTGGTAGGTTGAATTAGTGCAGAGTAACTCCTTAGGTTTTTTCCATGCAGGAAGGATTGTAAAATGACAGCTTAGGTGCAAGCAGGAGTTTCCTTGTGTCCCAATAGTTTTTCCTGAACATAATTGATGTCTGGCTCTTCACTGCATTATAAAGGACACTAAGAGAAACAAAGATATGTGAAATATATAAGTGGGTAAAAAAAAATGCAAAATGACCCAATCGGTATCCTAGTATAATGTTATTGTTCAATCTCAAAGTTTAAATAGATATCTTATTTGCATATAATTGGGGAGGGAATCAATACTTGTCATTTATGCACAAGCTAAAAGAAAAATGTATTCTTGTGGCATGTGCTGGGTTGTTTTTGTACGTCTATCGATATTTTGTGCATTTGAGCACAATTCCCATGTTCTGCTTCATCAGATATAATTATCATGGAACTGGGCATAATTTTCCATGTACTGATTGCCGGACTGCTTTACACAGGTGGTTTGGACTAGATTACAGGCAAATTATCTGCCCTGAAGAGGACGCCCTTAAACGGGCAGATGTTTTGGGGGATTGAATGCTTTCTTCTTAATAGCACCACAGTTCTATTATACAAGACTTTCGGTCTAGGTCATATTAGGAAGTACAGAAATTATTAAAGCCAGTTTTAGGCCTTACTTGATCTCTTTTTTCTTTCTGTTGTCATTAGTCTTTTTAGAAAGATGGCCTAGGTGCCCACTAACAAGTTCCCACTGTTTAACACTGAGAATGAGAAATCGCTCTGATTACTGTTCCTAATGTCAGGAGTTGCCTCCTGCTGAGACATGGTGTTGTGCATGGTGTCTAGTGGCTGTTATACCGGCCTTGGGATCAAATATGTCACTTTAGCCACGTGCTCAGCACAGCAAAAAGGACAGGACTCAGTGGCTTGACCTGAGCAGGGCAGCAAGAGCCTCTTCAGGGTCAGCATCTCCTCATTCCTACTCATTTCCTTAGAGTTTGTAGAGGACACATATAAACTTCAGATTTTTGCAAGGATACTTTAGGGAAAAAATGGTCACAACTCTCCCTTCAAATAAAGGAGAATTTTATGAAAATGAAAAAGTCAACTTTGAAGAGTGATTGATGTGTATATAATAGCCACACCTAAGCGGAAGTCACATACAGTTCTTCAAAACTTTACAACACTCAGAGAAAATACAACAGAAAAGCCACCCTGTGATTTTTGTTGATAAAATTAAGAGAAATATCATAAATATAAAATAAATTTCATGTGCATATTGAAGAAAAGTGGTTATTAGTTTGAATACGAGATGAACCACATGTTTAAAGTAATTGAGGCCCATTATCACTGACAAAGGTGAATTCTAGTTCTTTATCTTGGTCAGGCTGGCAACCGTCATTATAAAAGGACTGTGTGTGCAAGAGCCTAATAGAGTCGCATAAACATATGGAAGACAGATGGAGGAAAATGAGAAGGGGCTGCAATAAAAGTATACAGCAGCGTTTTTATGTTCTTGAGCACCCCTTTTAGAGAGATGGAGCCATATGGGGCAGGGTGGAGCCATATGGTGGTCGTCTACATGGCCCCAGTGGCAATGAGGAAGAAAGGGTACATGGGAGGAAATAAATGGTCCTGGAGGCTGAGATGAGCCTGCACTGCATTCTTACATTCCTATACCCTCCAGAGGCTGGGGAATATAGCCAAGCAAGTTTTTTTTCCCATCTCTCTCCCACAAAAGTCACTTAGTTGTGAAAATCTAGGTGCAAGGCACAGTGAAAGAGAGCTTCTATATCACAAAGGACAAGTTGAAGTGATTACTAATTGATGTTAACGTGGGAGTGGAGACAAAGTTTACTTATTTGAATGGAATAGGAAGGAGAATGCCAAGGCAATTGAGATAATGTATTCCTGTTGCTACTTGACTCAAGAACAGAATTGAAAACAACAGTTCATATGGTATTCTATCACCAAATCGAACTGAATGATAAAACCAAAAATAATATTAGAGATGCTTAAAAGCAACCTACTGGTGATTTCGCTAAATGATTAGATCCATACAACACTTACCATGCTCGTTTTCATAGTTCCCTATGTGCATACCTTTCCTCCCTGGTGGTACCAGGCACAAGGGGTCATCCAGCGAATATCTGTGGAATGAATGAATGAGTAATTCTTCGTTGTTTAAAATGGAACAGCTATTTGAGTCTAGTAACTGGATATCTGTTTGTGAACATGGAAAGTGATTAAAGCTCTTTTCAAAGATTTCCTTTTCTTTCAAGGTTCAGGTTCTGACTTGAAACATTGGGAATGTTAGAGAAAAATCAAGCAGCTCTATCTTTCATCTTCCCAGAAATAGGGCAGACATCACTGGGCATTCCCAGCCCAGGAGAACTACAAGGAAGGCAAGAAGGAAGAGAAACAAGCTGTGAGTAGAGGAGCAGGGGGATGGAGGAGCAAGTTTGCAGCAGCCAGGCCTGGTCTGCAGGGTGTGCGGTGGTTGCTACTCCTATTTAACCCTTTCCCCTCCCTGGAAAGGGTAAAGTGTTTTTTGCTTAGAGATGCTTCTGAGAATAATGATCTCTCTTTCAAAGCAAGGGAAGAACTATGTGTGAGATGGATTATATAGAGAAAAACCTTATAGATTTTTCTTTCTAAATCTGCATTATGATGTGTCTACCTTAGGGAAAACACAAAAGGAAGTGCTTTATTTGCTCCACTCTTTATTTTCATTTCCTTACTCTATTCATCTTTTTGAAGAAAATTGGCTTTGATTACAGGTTTCCAAGAAAAATAAGCAAACAGAATAGGATAGTGGGACTAGGTAAAGCCTACCAGCTGATTCTTATTAAGCTTGACCTGCTTTCTTCAATGCATGGCTGATTTCTTTACTTCGTGAGGTTATCCTTCAGTGTATTCTATTAATGTGTCCTTGGTGTGGAGCTGTCTGCTCAGCCTGCTTTGATCTGTCGTGGATGCCTCAGTATTGGTGGTTTGCTTTCAGCAGCCCCTAGTAGGTTGAGCATGTCATTGAGGAAGCGAGTATCTTACCTGTCTAACGAGGCAATAACATCTCTGAAAGTACCTGGATTTTGTTATAGGAGTGTCTCACTCAATTGATAGAGTCCAAAAGTTATTCTCTGTTGCCAGCTTAATGGCTTTTTTAGAGCAAAGCACTGATGGAACCTTGAGTAAAGCTAGGACAGGTACTTTATTTTTCATTAAAACTTATCGTCTTTTCTGCCAGCACAAAGCCTGTCGTATGCACTTGATACAAATTTCTTGTGAGGAAAAATTAAGAATGCTTTCTTGTGATCGTTGGAAAGGGAGAGGACAATTTAGGTGAACTTCTTCCTTGATTTTCTTACCTTTTAGGATTTTTGGAAAGATGTTTGGTGCCTCTGCTCCAGGCCGCCTCTTGCAGGTGGCAAGACCTTAAAAACCCTGTAGCAGCATGGCTTTTGCAGGACTAAAACTTTGAGGGTAGGCACAGAAATTTTTAGGTGGTGGTAAGTCTCTCCATGATTTTGTGCAATTAATATGCACGTAAAATTATCTTGTACTTATCTTTTTTATTTAGTTTTATAATGTAACAAATAGACCAGTGGATCTTATCTGTGGCTGCATATTAATAGCTCATGGGGCACTTTTTATAAGTACCAGTGCCTGGGTCCCATCCCAGAGATTCTGGTTCAGTTGGGGCCTAAGCCTTATGGGCTTTAAAAGCTCCCCAGATGATGCTAATGTGCAGCCAGGTGTGAGAACCACTGAACTAGAACATTGACTTTGTCTCCCTGGCCTTTTATTTTTTCCTGATAGATGTGTTCTGAGTTTCTAATAGTTATATATTTGCCTCTGAGAGTTAGGAACATCATTCCCCCTTTACTCTACCTGCCCTCCCCACTCCTTGCCCAGGGCTTTATGTCCAGCCTCATATCCCCTGGTCCCTGCTCTGAAGCCTTTGGAGGCTGAGAAACTAAAAATTTACGAACCTGCACTGCCGGTCCATCCACTGAAATGGTTTTGAAAAAGGAAACAATCAGAGGAGACACAGGTACTGGATACACAGCTGTTTGATTTCTCAACTCTTGGAATGAGGAGGTGATGGTATAGTGAACAAAACCCATTTGGATT